TTACTCCTGGCGGTGCTTTGGGGACCCCATGGGATGCTGGGAATTGAACCCAGGTCGGCCGCGTGCAAGGCAAATGCCCTCCCCGCTGTGCTATTGCTCCAGCCCCAAGGACAATTGTTTTTTTTTTTTGCTTTATGGGTCACAACTGGCGATGCACAGGGGTTACTCCTGGTGGTGCTCAGGGGACCATATGGGATGCTGGGAATTGAACCCGGGTCGGCCGCATGCAAGGCAAATGCCCTACCCGCTGTTCTATCTCCCCAGCCCCCAAGGACAAATTTCTTAACTTCTAAAAAATCGACTATTTCCATATTAATGGACCTTCAAAAACACCTACATTTCACCGGGACCCACTGGTAAGTACAGAGATGGTGGCTTCCAAATTCATCAAACAGGTGCTGGAGTGACAGTACAGAGGGGAAGGGGCTGGCCTTGCATGTAGCCAACCCTGGTTCCACCCCCAACATCCCATAGGGTCCCCCGAGCCCTGCCAGGAATGATCCCTGAGCAAAGAGCCAAGAGTAAACCCTGAGTACAGCCAGTGTGATGCAAAAATAAAACCAAACCAAAACCACCCAAAATTAAACTGGGCCTTCTAAGCACCAAACGTTATGGTGAACATATCAATGTGTTCTACAAATATGCATCAACCCTCATTAAAGGTGGAATAGACGAAGAACCCTCACAGAACTTGAAGACACTGGGAAAACTGTTTCTAATTCCCAGGGTGGGTTGGAGTGATAGCACAGCGGTAGGGCATTTGCCTTGCACGCAGCCAACATGGCCGACCCGAGTTCGATTCCTCTGCCCCTCTTGGAGAGCCTGGCAAGCTACCGAGAGTAGCTCGCCCTCACGGCAGAGCCTGGCAAGCTCCCCGTGACGTACTCGAAATGCCAAACACAGTAACAAGTCTCATGATGGAGACGTTACTGGGCCCGCTCGAGCAAACCAATGAACAATGGGAGGACAATGACAGTGACAGTGACAATTCCCAGGGTGAAAGAACAATTGAGCCAACGTTAGACAACTGGATTTCTCTTAATGACGATCTGGTCTCAGGCCGGGGAGACTGTGCAGTGGGTAGGGCCCCTGCCGTGCACATGGCAGAGCTGGGTGCAATATCTAGAACCACATGTGGTTCTCCAAGCCCTGCCAGGAGGAATCTCTGAGCACAGAGCCAAGAGCAATCCCTGAGCACTGCTGGGTCTAGCCCCCGAGCCCAAAACCAAGAGGAGACAAGCAGATCTAGTGGAACTGGCACTCTGGCTGCAGCGAGCTTGCGCCGAGTCCCTCTGGCCTGCTTTTTCCTCCCTGCAAGCCATCAATCACCTCTTCAGGTAGGGGCTCGTGAGAAGCCAGGCTCTGCTCCGTGCATCGGGTCTGAGCAGGCCAGAGACTCTCAGAACTGCAGCTGCTGCCACTTTGCCTAAGCGGACGCCGGGTAAACCTGGGAGTTATGGATAAACCAAACAGGGGGGCTAGAAAAGCAAACATCTTTATTTAATAATCTTTGATATTTAAAATACAACTCATCGAACATCCACATCCACAATAGATTCCTCAGTGTTCAACAGCGCTTTGGAAGTCGGGCTCCGCGTGGGAGTGAGTCGGGAGGGGCCTGTGTGGGGGGCAGCCGGCGGCCAGGGGGGCCACCCACACCGGAGGCAGCTGCGGAGCCGGTCCTGAGCGAATGGTGGCACAGCCAAAGGACGGTGCTCTGTATTTCATAGGGTTTTTGTATTTAAACAAAATTTTTTTTTGTATTTGCATGTCAAAGAGTCCATTTATACAGGACAGAAATTTTAAAAAGCCATTCCAAGTAGTTCATTATGTGTAGACATTAATCATTCAAATGCACATTTTCTCTCCCCCCACCTCCCCAAATAAAAGCAGTAACAAAAAAATTCCTGCCAACATTCACCTTTGACCCATGGGAGACGCCCTAAGTGCTTCCTGAATTAAAATGCCGATTCTGTCCATTCCAAAATCAACCTTGACTTTCAAGATGCCAGTGCATTCTGAAAGGAAATGTTAGCAAAAGTTTTCTTCGAATTAAAAGCAGTCTAAATTTCACAAATTGACCCACTGGGCCTTTTCGTTCATGAAAGCATTATGGAACAACCATGTTTCTGTATGTAATTAAACATTTAAAAAGGTACGAGCCAGTCCATTTCATCAGCAAGAGACGCTGCTGATTCTAAAGGAACCAGGAATGAAGGAAAGTGTTTACTGTGAAGATAGGAAAGGTCGTGGACACTGCTGAAATAATTAGTGGATCTAATCCGGTTTTTCTTAAAAAAATCTCACATGAAACATCTCCATACATCACAGGGCCTCAATACAAGTCACAATTCACTTTCAAGTAGAGGTGCGAGGCCTTTTCAACGACAAAGTTTTACACAGGACATTGTCCACACTGATTACGGAATTTTCTGAAGAATCTGAAGCAACAGGACATGGCTCGGCGGTAGGGCACGGGTCCTGCACTCCAAGTCGCAGATTCGCTCCCTGGCACTGCCTGACGGCAGCCAGCACCCTTGGGGGATGGCCCTGGCGCCAGCCAAGCTCCTGCAGCAATACAAGCAACAGCCCAAACAAAACAAAAAACCAAACCAAAACATTTCAATGATTTCCTTTCGCCTATGCATGGAATTTGTCTTTTTGAACCACAGGTCAAAATGGTGAGCGGTAAGACATTTTTGTAAATCTTGGCACCAGCATCATTCTGTTTAAAGATAGTACAAGATATGCCAATGGTAAAACTGTGATTTTAGGCTCTAACTAAAATAGATTCAACTTAATGTGAGTAAAACAATGTCGGCTACTGGTAGTTTTTGCCCTAGTGAGCCTCAACTAATATGGAGCTTCTTTTCCTACTAACTTTGGCATGGCTAACAGCTTCAGGAGAATCATTTAAGGAAGACAAAGCAGCTCCTTAAGTTTTCTGTGAACTACAAATAATCTGGCCAAAACTCTAGTACTGGAGTAACCTTCTGAAATAATTTACATTACCAACCTATTTATGTTAATTAGTGTAAAGAACATAAACCGGTGATTTGAGATCAGAGCTAACTCCGAGTTTTAAAACGTAATTACAGTACTTATAAATTCATGATATGAGAAAATATGAAAGTGGTATCTCCAAAGATAGTTTAAACTTCACGTAAAATACTAGTTATCATGACTGTGTGGGTTTAATCCTGATAATATAAATCATACATTAGAACAATAATACCAGTAGTTTATATTTTAAATAAGGATGTGTTCCCATGTTCCCAACTGATAAACAACATGACAATGTCTCCATAAACAAAGATCTTGGTAGGATAGGCTGTGAATTTTTGGTGCCTGTCTTTCTGGCTCATGATTTACAGCAAACTAAGATTTCTGAACTCTGAACCACAGCTCTGTACATGATCTGATACTGGGAACATGAGCTCTGGCATCTTTTCATCCTGGCCAATCAAAATGGAATATAAATGTTCAATTACATTTAAACCAATCCAGAAAGGATGGTGGCTCGCTAGTGATCCTGGATGTATCTCTTAAATACATTAACTTCACAACAAGACAAATAAACGTATTTGTGAGCGATGTACACTCAGCTCCATGTAAAAAAATAAAAATAAAAATTCATTAATGAACAAAGGTCATCACACCCTCTCTTTCTCAAATGCACTACCAAGGGTGTATGATAAAAGAGCTTTATAAACTTTAAAAGTTAAAACTTTCAAATGCATATTCATTTTCTCACTTATATATTAGGTAGCTCATATTTCAAGTGTATGAAATGCTTAGTCAAATTTTTTTTCAATGGAAAAGATAAAAGCCAAATGCCCAAGGAAAATATGAAAGCACAGTGGGGTAGGATAATTATAGAAATGTTCATCTTAAAATATTTTGGTTAGTAAATTTGAGGAGCATGAATGAAGTGCCAACATCCCTTGCAGCTTAAAAATTGTGTAATTCTTTTGAAATATTTTCAATATTTGCAAAAAAAAATTCTGTTTCAAAACATAACTGTTTATGTACGAGAAACTTCAAAAATATTTGGCACAAATAATAATTAAAAAATCAATTCCTATAAAAAAGATACTTTATAAATGTAAAAGAATTTTCTCGTCTTTTCCCATTAGCAATAAATTCTAGTTTCTAACTCCAAAAATTTCTCCCTGATAAAATGTGCGCAGCCATCCACTAGAATGGCAAATCTAAGTAACAAGCTGAAATTTCTTCTTAAATTTTTGCTTATAAACAATTCCAGCGTCCAAGGGGCTTTGAGAAAGGATAGCGCATGAGGGATGAGGAATCAAATGCCTATTTCTAAGCGATGTGGCTAATTTTCATTAAAATCATACCACTGTTTTGACCCAGTAAGAAACTCTCTGTGCATCCTTATTAAAGAATGTTTATCAAAACTAAAGACTTTTTTTTTTTATTTACAGACCCATTAAGTATGGTGACTCTTTAATTCTTAAGCCATTTTGTCATGATGCAAATGTCAATTCAATGCAATGTGTGTGTGTGTGTGTGTGTGTGTGTGTCTGTCTGTCTGTGGAGGGGGAAGATGTTTGGGCCACACCCAGCGGTGCTCAGGACTTACTCCTGACTCTGCCCTCAGGGATCACTCCTGGCAGAGCTCAGGGGACCATATGATGTGCCAGGGATCGATTTTGGGTCAGGGGCATGCAAGACCAGCTGCACCTTACTATCTCTCCGGCCTCCAGTAAATATATTTACTATTTTCCTTAGCAAATGATTCTCCAGTTCCCAATCATCTCTGGCAAGCTCTGCCTTCTCAAAGCTGTGTGGCAGAAGCAGACATTTTCATTCCAGGACCCCACTGCCGCTGGAGCAGCTGACTCCAGTCACAAGAAAAAACATAAAAACCTGGAGACTGAAGGCCAAATCTGGACTCTCCTACATTCATGGTGGGTGCGCTACAGGGCAAGGGAACGGGCTTCCACCCTGGACAAGGAAGGCGCCCATGGGTGCAAGGAAGGGGGCTCCCACACAGCTGGAAAGGCCGAGCGTGAGTGTTGGGAGAAGACATTCATGAAACACCTGGAAAAGGACATACTGCCCTGTTAAACATGTTGGCTGATTCTCAGACACGTGTGCAGAGTTGATTTCAGCTGAGGAATGGACCAGAACCACGAGATATTGATCCCATCTCAGAGGGCTTTAAAAAAAAAAGTAAAATCCCAAGTAGAATGACTAACGTCAAAAAGTTGTAGAAAAAAGAACGGTAAACAACAGAGAAACCGTGATCAGAGGAAAAAAGAGAAAAAAACCCCTAGGAAATACCCAAGCGCACACCGCTTGGGAGTGCAAGTCTTACACTGACCTAAAAGGTTCCTTTGGCTTCAGAGAAACAAAAGCAACCACTGGAGATGAAAATGAACCAAATACCTACACAGGAGGGAGGAAGTAAAAAATACAATGTAACGTATGGGTAGCTCTGTGGCAAGAATTGTGAACTGGTCTGCAAAATCAGATCCCAGAAAAATGTCCTAACTTTAGACATGTTAGATATTGCACACTCAAAAAAAAAAAAAAGAACATTTAGAAAACAATTTTCAATGTCTTTAATCGCTGAATGCCTCTTTGGCTACTATCTGGAGGATCATTCGTGAGTCCTACAACTGATGTATTTTTCCACTTTTGTCAAATTTGTTTGCAAACCAACCAAAGTCTTAATTCCTCTGTTGAACATTGTTTTCTTTGACACATTGCCAAAATGGACCCTATGCTATTTGTCACGCAGGATAATGTTGGAAAGTATGAATATCTAAATGATTTTTAAAAGGTATTATTATTTTCCTTCTGTTTTGAGATTATTTTGAACAGTTTCTAAAGACATGGTCACGGCTGCTTGAAGCATGTCCTCTTCACTCATAGAATCGACTGTTGGGAAAGAAAATACACACAGTTTTTAGAAATTTCTGGAAAACTCTCAACACCATCAAAAAGATAAACTCTTAAAAAATGGTTTCTATCTGACAACCATAGTATGCATTTTAAAGTTTACAGATGGTAAAATTCACTCTTATAGTTGTACAAACTTTGACAAACGCATAGAACTGCACGACCACCATCATTCCCATCATTTCCCTGCCTTCCCACGTGCCCCCCAATTCCTTCTTGCTACCCCACTGTGATCGATAACCAGCCCCTAGTCTTAGATAACCACAGATAAAGTTTCTGCCCTGCAATTTGTCTTTTTTCCTGCTGACAGAAATGGAATTATACAGAACGAATGTAGCTTTCTAAGTAGGGCTTTTTCTGTTCTTTTCTTTCACTTAGCCAAATGCATTTATTTGCATTTCAGATCAAATAGATGAATGAAAATTTAAATTGGTTTTATATATACATATGTATAAACAATTACCTACAATTTTTTTGGAGGGGGCTAGAGCGAAAGTACAGTGGATAAAGTTTGCCTATTAAAGGGCCAACCTGAGTTTGCCCCCTGAGCATCCCTTATGGTTCCCAGAGCCCACCAGGACTGCCCTGAGTACAAAGCCAGGAATAAGCTCTGAGCACTGCTGGGGCTTTTTGTTTTGTTCTGTTTTGTCTTGGGGCCACACTGGCAGTGCTCAGGGCTTGCTCGTGGCTCTGTGCTCAAGGATCACACCTAGTAGGCTTGGGGCACCATCTGGGGCTCCAGGGACCGAACCCTGGTCGGCTGCATGCAAGGCAAGTGCCCCACACGCTTTTCTCTACCATTCTGGCCCCTAAAAACTGTTCTGAAAGAATGATTTACGCAGGGCCCGGGACTCGACAGCGTGGGAGCTGAGAAGGCTTTGCCCTGTGAGCACAAGAACAGGAGCGCATCCGAGGTCAACCCCATCCTGGCAGCTCTGCTGTCTTGTGCTCTCAGCATCCCAGCCATGACAGGGAGCCCTTGGAGAGCAATGCACTGCCCTGGCAGGCACTCCTGGGGCTGCATGACCAGCACCACTGAGGGGCTGCACCAGAATTCAGCCAGCAGGCAACCTCGAAGGGAAATGGAAGGACATGGGGTAGGAAGAAAAGGATAGTGCAGTCACAGGAAGGTGCAGCAGGACTGCAGGGCATGCCGGGCATGCTCTGGGCAAGAGCTCCATGGTGAAGAAACACAGATCAAATGACTTCAGCATTTGAGAATGACTTCAGCACACCGTTGAGCAGAGTCATTATTTTACCTAGTTGTATGCATTGTATGCATAATATGTAGCATGCATATATAGTATAGGGTATGTAGCATAACATATAATAGAACATTGTACAGTATACTACATTTCTCAGTGGGGGCCAGAAGCATAGCACAGGGTTTGTTTTGGTTTTGCTTTTTTGGGTCATACCAGGCGATGCTCTGGATTACTCCTGACTCAGCACTCAGGAATTATTCCTGGTGTAGCTCAGGGGACCATATGGGATCCCAGGGATCAAAGTAACTGCATGCAAGACAAATGTCCTGTGCGCTGTACTATCGCTCTGGCTACACACAGGGTTGTTAAGCTGCTTGGCGAACCCCGGGTTGATCCCCAGCACCGCACAAGGTCCCCCGAGCACCGCAGGAGTTATCTCTGAGCATAGATGCTCTACAGATGCTACAATACCGAAAGCTGTGTAGTGTGCACAGGTTCACTTAACTACCAGCACATCCCTCAAACTGTTCAGAGGACCACAAAGACAGTCCTGGGCAGTCACCCTCCTTTCCTTTCCTCTGTCTTCCCGAACTACAGGAAACCATTAATCTGTTTCCTGGCTCTAAAACAAATTTCTCCTTTTCAAACGTTATACAGATAGGATGAGATCTTTGGAGATGCTTTTTGTGTGTTTGGTTTCTGTCTCTAGCCCGTACCTGGGGAGACTGGGGGGGGGGGGGGGGGGGCGGCTCCTCCCATCTTAGAGCGAGGGAGTCACTCGTGGCACCCTCGGGAACATGCAGTTCCAGGGCCGGAACCCAGAGCTCCCACAGGAGAGCCTGTGCTCCAGTCTTGCCTTGACATTTCTCTAAAGCACCCTGGCTCCCGACCTTGGGGGGAAGACAGGGTCTCGCCCAGGCAGCCTCCCTGAGTGACCCCCGCCCCAGCGCCTGTGCCCAGACTGCTGGCATCAGCATCACCGCTGAGAGTCCCCTGAGCTGCTGCTCTGCCAACAGTGCCAACGGTCAGTCTTTCTCTTCCTTCCCTTCCTGTGCTGGTGGCTGCAGCGCTCACTGGGGGGGTGACACAGTGGACTGTGGGGTGCTGTAGCGTGGGGATAGCCCCAGGGTGGCACCGCTGCAGCCACGAGTCACACCTGAGGAGGGGGGTGCCACGGTGCAGACACAGGGCAGAGTGGCCGGTTCCACGCCACGACGACTCTGTGCTTAAGGAAACACACCAACATACAGGCTGTCACACTGAGGCACCCTCCATTCCTCTGGGGTGGATGCCCAGGAATGTGACTCCTGAGTCGTACGGTCAGTGCATGGCCAGTTTTTAAGAACTTGACCAAGTTTCTAGAGTGTCTGTATGACCGTTCAAGTGAAATGTAGGGAGTCTTCCTTCCTCTCGCTCTCTCCCTCTAGAGCTATCAGGCCATCTCCTAGTCATACCCTGGCAAGCCAACGTTTAACATCAACTATAATTTAGAAAACTCACAGAAAGGAAAACCTACTGTGTTTATACATATGTACACATATATGAACATGTATTTTATTATTTTTTTTATGTAGGAGTAAAGTAAGTAAAATGGTAAAGGCCCTCCCGTTGATCATCGATTTGCTCGAGCGGGCCCAGTTACGTCTCCACTGGAGACTTTGTTACTGTGTCTGGCATATCGAATACTCTCGGTAGCTTGCCGGGCTCTCCGAGAGGGGCGGAGGAATTGAACTCGGGTCGGCCATGTTGGCTGCGTGCAAGGCAAACGCCCTACCCGCTGTGCTATCGCTCCAGCCCTATGTAGGAGTACTGCTATTTATTCAGCCACTGATTAGGCTGATTGAATTGTGCATGAACTCCACTGAACGTGTATTTTAAGAGAAGACTGATTTTAGGGAAATTTGCTTAGAGCAATAAAGGGGACAGGGGGAAAGAGACTCGTGTCCATGAGAGAACACGGGTTTCCCAGAGGGAAGGATGGAAGCCACACGGAAGGCAGAGACGTGGCCCAGCTCCAGGGTGGAGAATGCACCTTGACTTCCACTCTATTGTTTTTAATCCTTCCTGGCATCCCCTTGACTACTTTCTTAATCAGTTATTTAGTGAACATCTTTCAGTCACCTTTTAGGGGAAACCTTCTGATGACTAATTTTCCCCTCCTTTTCTTTTTTCTTTTTTTGTTTTTGTATTTTGAGGGCACACCAGGTAACTTACTCCTGGCTCTGAATTCAGGGTACAGTATGGGATGCCAGGGACTGAACCCGGGTCGGCAGTGTATAAGGCAAAGACCCTACTGCTGTACTATCACGCCAGCCCTTTCGCTTCCTTCCTGAAGGAAACAGGTTCTTTCAGAGAGCTAACCATTCTATAGCATTAGAGCGGCAATGGAGCAGGGCGGGTATTTGCACTGCACGAGCCAACCTGGGTTCAATCCTTGGTATCCCGTATGGTTCCCCAAGCACTACCAGGAGTGAGTCCTGAGTGCAGAGCCAGGAGTAATCCCTGAGCACTGCCAGATGTGGGCCCCAAACAAAATAAAAACGAAAACAAGCTAACCATTCATTATAAAATTAAAGGTTTATGTTTTTAAAAAGCAAAGCACCAAAGAAAAAAATTATATAGAAGTATGACCCATGATAGATTCCGATCACCACAGATGGTGCCCTGACCACCACCAGAAGTGATCTCTGGGCACAAAGCCAGAGTAAGCCCTGAGAACCATAGGTGTGGCCCAGAAACTAAAAAAAAAAAAAAAAAAAAAAAAACCCTTAAAAAATAAAAAGTTCTTCCTAATCCCTCAGAGTAGCATTTCTATCTGGGGGCCGTATTCCAAGGGACCCCCCAGGAAATTGGGGGTCCCAATGAGACTAGGGTTGCTATTTTTTTTCCCCAGTTTTGGACCACACCCAGAAGTGTTCAGGGTTTACTCCAGGCTCTGTGCTCAAGCATCACTCCTGGTGGAACTCAAGAGACCATCTGGGATCTCAGGGATGAAGCCCAAACTGGCTGAGTGCAGGGCAAGCGCCCTCCCCGCTGTCCTGTCTATCCGGCCTGCCGTGAGTCTAGCAAGCCTCACGAAGACCAGGCAGGGTGGGGACCACAGGCTGGAAGCAAGGCTGGGAATTAATTGGCCAGGTCTGAGGAACACTGATTTAATCTCTTAACTGGGGAGCTTTCACATTCTGGGTGATGAAATGCACTCAGTTCCTACCTGCTTCTTCTTTCGGGAGACCTGAGGAAGGTACTAATTAAAGTGAAGTCGGGAGAGTCGGGAGCACAGGCAGAGAGTTTTTAAGCAAAACATCCTTTGAGTGCCACCGTCTGCTTGTTCCGGACTCCAGGGAAATTTTAATAAGTGACAAATTTACTCAAGAAGTCAGTACAGTTAGAACAGGGTAGAAAAATACCTGGAAAGTCAAAAGCACATGGAGCTGGCCCTTGTGACAGAGGGCCAGGCGACACGGGGGATGCACGGTCAGAGCATACCTAGATCACTGCTGAGGGCCCCGGGACTCGTGGTCGGCCTTTCACATGGGCGCGTTCGTTGTCTGGGTGGATCTCGCTGCTGTTGCTGCTGCTGCTGCCTGAAACATCCAAAGTAACGGATGTTACAAACCCCCAAACTACCCCAGGCACAAATATGCCATGAGAAAAACGATTTGCGTGGAGAGGAAGAAGTTCCACAGAGCAAAAGGCGGATGGCACGACCTCCCCGCCCCCCGGCCCTGAGTTAATGGATCTGAACACCAGCCCCCCCCCCCCCCGAGTGAACCTGAAAGTTCCATGGTGCTGACCCCAGAAAGAAGCCAAACAAAGTCAAAGGCCGTTTGCTCTTTCGCTAAAGATGCACCGGTCCCTATTTTCTACAAATGCATCCGCTTCTAGAACCTTCATCTTGTAGGAAACCACTACAAATAAGCCGCTCTGAAAACAGACAGGTTCTCAAGGGAGTGATTCTCCACAATCAGCCCCTGTGGTCCATGGGAGCCAAGTGAGGGGACGCGCACGCACCAGGAGCTTCATCCCATCGCCGTCCCTCCCCCCCCCCCCCCCCCACCCAAGCACCTGGGCTCTCATGTCCCGGGCTGCTATGTCTCTCTCGCTCTCCACACAGCCAATCCCCAGAGTATCAACTGTACCGGGCAGTGCCTGTCAGCAGCCACGCACCAAAGACTCGAAGAAAGAAAGAAACAAGAATGATCTCAGTAATCCTGCCTGGAAAGAAATTCTCCATTTGCAAAAGTAAAAAAAAAAAAGAAGGGGCTGGAGAGATAGCACAGCTGGTAGGGCGTTTGCCTTGCACGTGACTGACCCAGGTTCGATTCCCAGCATCCCATATGGTCCCCTGAGCACCGCCAGGGGTAATTCCTGAGTGCAGAGCCAGGAGTAAAACCCTGAGCATCGCCAGGTGTGACCCCCAAAAAATCTGCACTTTGAAGCAACTCCATAATGACTACGATGTTAATGTGGAGGAGAGTGTTGGTGATCCAGAGCCTGGCCCTCGAGCAATCAGACTTCACGGGAAATCTCTGCGAGTTACTCCTGGTGGTCCAGTGCTACCAACCACCAGCAATCTGAGGGAAGGGTATGAAGAATCCTAGTGGAATTTTCAATTGAAAAGGAAGAGGAGGGTCCGGAGCGATAGCACTGGGGAGGGCATTTGCCCTGCATGAGGCCAACCCGGGTTCGATCCCCAGCATCCCATATGGTCCCCTGAGTACCACCAGGAATGATTCCTGAGTGCAGAGCCAGGAGTAACCCCTGAGCATTACAGGGTGTGACCCAAAAAGTCAAAAAGAGAACCAAAAGAGAGAAAAGAAAGAGTAAAACAGATGACGGTTGGATGAGAAGCCAGAACCTTTTCCCATGAGATACCAATCAGGTTAGACTAGCTTAATCAATCAGGTCTTTCTCCTTATACTTTTAGGAAACATCCCAGCTGTTTTTTTCTCCCTACTGACAGCCGTCTCTGCTACGCATGTGCGTACCTTCTTAAATTACTATTAGTTTCATTACAAAACTGTTCAAGTTTATGGGATCAGGGCACAAAACCACTGCGCCCCTAGCACCGGATGCCGACAGCCCTCCCCTGCAGTCCCCATGTCACCTCTGGTCGGCCTTTCCCCACCTCCCGTCACTGCTGGGTAATAAGCCTCAACTTCTAAGGTCAAAGGCTCATGATTGCTGCGAGACTGTCTCTTCCCTTGTCTCGTCTCCGTGCGCCAGAGGCGAGTGAGATCCTGCAGGATTTTTCCTCCTCCCTCTCACTTATTTTGCTTAACAAGACACTCTCGGGTTTTATCCACAACGCAGCAAATACTCCTATCTTTCCTAAGGGCCGTATGGTATTCCACTGTGCATCTGTAACCACAACATCTTCATCCTTTCACTCGCTTGTCTTTGGACATTTAGGTCGTTCCCGTGTCCTGATTATTAGACTAATACTGCAAAGAACACAGGAAGAAAACACAGATGGCCGGGGAGCTGGATGGGGCTTAGGGGTTTGCCTTCGAGGTGGCGACCCTGGGGCTGAACACCATCAGGGGTCACTGGTCAGCAAAGCCAAGAACAGCCCGAGCAGCTCCAGGTGTTGGATCTCCCCACGGCCCTGTCCCCCATAAATATTGAAAGGAATGATCGTTTTTCAGTTACCCAAACCCGAATAATCGCACATTTTTCTCTAAGGTATCTCTTCATCTTACGTTTTAAGCATGAACAATGTGGGTATAGAGATGGCACGGGAGAACCCCGCTGACCCGCCCAGGCTCCTGCATCTGGGCCCTGGCACCAACACGAGTAGACTTGCGGGGTCTGCGCCAACCCCCCTCACCCCGGAAAGGTGTTTAGTATAGAGAAATAGGACCAACAAAGGGAATGCCACCAGCAAAGTCTGCCATTTCTGCCCACGGCCTCTGAGCACACATACCAAGACACGGAGTCACTTCTACTTTCTCTTGACAGCCTGAGCCTCGATTCTGGAAGGCCAGGCCGCGGACAGTGAGGAAGCGCCAGCACGGAAGCCACCATCCCCTCCTCCCTCGTGCCCCTGCACTCTAGAAAGCACATCGGAAGGCAAGGGCGAGGGAGAAGCAGGCCACAGAACACTGCAGAGGGAAGACCCTCGTTCGACAATGATACACTGGTGAGTGGACAAGAGAAAGAGACCGCAAAGAGCGCCAGGGGCAGGAGCAAAGCACTGGCCAGCAGGAGGCCAGAGCTCGATGCCCGTCACAGCAAGGGCCTGAGCGCTACAAGGGGTGACCCTCGAGAGCCACACCCCTGGGGGTGACCTTCCTCCCCATAAAAAAATACAAAGAGGGACAGAGCAATAATAGTACAGTGGGTAGGGCGCCTGCCTGGCAAGCGGCCAATCTGGGTTCAATCCCGGAGCACCCCAGGAGTGATCCCCTTGTGCAGAGCTGGGAGTAACCCCTGAGCATCACCAGGTATGCCCCCCAAACGAACAGAAAATAATACAGAGAGGGGCTGGAGAGGTAGTACAGTAGGTAGGGGACACCTGCCTTGCACACAGCTGACCTGGATTCGATCCCTGGTACCCTATATGGTTCCCTGGGCCCCTCCAGGAGTGATCCCTGAGCACAGAGCCAGGAGTGGCCTCAAAACCAAAAACTAACTTAAGAAAAGCAAGAACTAGGCTTCGCCATCTTAAGAGTGCTCCGGCCCTGTCACAGGTAACGCCAGTCCAGGTGGGACACCAGCCAGATACTAGCCGGGTGTGACCCACGCCCAGCCTGGGTAGGCTGCGTGCAGCACGGGCACCCTGGCCACCAAAGCCGCACTTCCCGAGATTTAGGATTCTTTTTAATTTAAGCACACCGTTTGTCTTTTCTTCTTTTCCCTGGAAGTTTTTTTCTCTTTCGGTCACACCCGCGATGCTCAGAAATTACTCCTGGCTCTGCACTCAGGAATTACTCCTGGCTTTGCTCAGGGGACCACAGGGGATGCTGGGGATCGAACCCGGGTTGGCCGATGCAAGACAAATGCCTTCCCCACTGTCCTATTCTCCAGGCCCTTGCCTGAGATTTACACAGTGACTGGCAGCTTTGGCTGTTCTCTGCCGGCAGTAAACCAGGGAGATGCCAGCCCAGAACCCCACCTTGGAAATGGCTGTGCCGCTGAACAGCCTGTCCCCATATCCAGGCTACCGTGCTGGCCAAGCAATGGTTGTGCTGGTCACTCCTGCTGCAGAATGCTCCTTTCCCAGACACCCTATACACCCAGTTCCTTCAGCAGGCTGACATCAGTTCTTGCAGGGCTGGCCTCAGTACCCTCACACCCGCTCTCCGGAAACCTCGGTGCTCACTGTAGTAAATGACCGTCTGCTTCAAACGCTCTTGGCAATTTCGTTTCTTAAGACTACATTCTGGGGACTGGAGCAATAGCACAGCGGGTAGGGCATTTGCCTTGAACACGGCCGACCCGGGTTCGATTCCCAGCATCCCATGTGGTCCCCTGAACACTGCCAGGGGTGATTCCTGAGTGCAGAGCCAGAAGTAACCCCTGTGCATCACTGGGTGTGACCCAAAAAGAAAAAAAAAAAGACTACATCCTGGGGGCTGGAGGTATAGCATAACAGTAGAACATCTGCCTTGCACACGGCCGACCTGGGTTCAATTCCCAGCATCCCATATGGTCCCCCAAGCACTGCCAGGAGTAATTCCTGAGTCCATGAGCCAGGAGTAACTCCTGTGCATTGCCAGGTGTGAACCAAAAAGCTCCCCCCCCCCCAAAAAAAAAAGGCTACACCCTTATACACTACAGTATGCCACTGAGGTGGCTGCAGTCTGTGACCGACCGAAAAAGTTATGTGGGAAGCACCATTTTATTTTTGTTTGGGGGTCACACCTAGCAATGCTCGGGGCTTACTCCTAGCTCTGAGCGCAGGGATCACTCCTGGTGGGGCTCTGGGGACCATATGGGATGCCAGGGATTGACCCAAGTTGGACGCATGCAAAACAAGATACCCGCTGCACCGTTGCTCTGGATGGGATTTCTCCCAAGCCCATGCATCACCAGGAAGGCTCCCTGCCCTGCCCCGTGAGTGGTCCCCAAAGGCTGCCAGGCGAGGCCCTGAAGCAACAAGAAAACCTGGATCGTTTCAAAGCTGCACCCAGAAGAGACACCAAGGAAGCTGCCAGGCACCATGGCACCGGGCAAACCCCTGGCAGCTCTGCACACCATCCATGCGGACACTCAGGCATGCCAGGAAGCCTTCACAGGGACAACGCAGACACCCAGGGTACCACTTGCTCTTACGAGGCAGGGTTCTACTGCCAGGGGGGTCAATAACAGATAAGATGAAAATACAGACACGGCTCTGAAGATAATCTTACAATTTTTATGGTTTTTTTGGGGGGGGGATAGGTGGAGGCTACATCTGGCGATGCTCAGAGGTTACTCTTGGTCCTGTGCTCAGGAGTTACTCCTGGCAGTACTCAGGGAACCATATGGGGTGCTGGGGATTGAACCCGGGTTGACGGAGTGTAAGGCAAATGCCCTCCCTGTTGTACTATGGCTCTGGTCCATACAATCTTTACGTTAATGAATTTATAATAGGTCTGTGGCCATATTTCTGACCTCCAGAGTCCAGTGCACTTGCTGGAATGCATTCTGTGGCCACTACATTAAGTATGAAGCTTCAAATAGTCCATAGGGAGGGACAAAAAAAAAAAAAGAAAGAAAGCCACAAACAATTGCAAGGAGTAACAAGATAGCATCTGGATTTGTTTGGAAGCCAAATTCCTAAAGACGGAAACTAGAGGTCAGAGAGCTGTGCAGCAGGCAGGGAGGGCGTGTGCCTTGCATGTGGCGGAGGCAGGCTGGAATCCCTGGCAACCCACGCAACTCGCTTGTGTCTAAGTTTCTTTGCTTATGTCCACCCTGGAGAAGCCTGTGTTCTCTCTCTAACATTTACTTCTCTTTCTCGCCTCTCACATCTAAGTAAGTTTCAATAAAAACTACATTGCTTCACAAAAAAAAAAAAAGCCATGCCCATCTATTCATCTGTTTTAGCGATATAATGAAATAATTAGAAAAAAATGATAAAACCTTTGTTACACAGTCAGACCGGGCAGGAGAGCAGAAAGCCAGAGAGTGGGCCAGCAGAGGGGGACACTAGTCTGGCCACGGACTGAGATTTGTTAAATCCAGGCAACAGATAAACAGGGTCCATTATCCTGATGTCTCTACTTATGAACACACTTTAAGTTTATGATAATTTAAAAAAAAAATACCTGAAAGTTAGTTTTAGATTCTAAAAGGTAGTGAACAACACTAATCAGCGCTATTTTGGAAGCTTATATAATTAAGTCCATTAATCTATCACTGAATAAAGACTAGAAATATCTCACATTAAGAGGATGTCAGCTGATCAGAACTTTCCTTCATATACTTCTGAGTTGTGACTTTAAAAAAAACAAACAGAAAACACGGTAAATATTATCTTCAGTACACCAGCAAAGTCAAATCGCTCCAATATTTTCCATACCACTAAAGCACTGCCAGCAAGACTGCAGGCAGCTACCCGGGTTCTCGGCTTCAGGGATGCTGACCTGTGCCCACACAGGCACCACACATCCCGAAGCCCGAGCAGAGGCAGTCACGTGACGGGGAGACGCAGCCCGAGGCTTTGGTCCTCTGGCCGGGGCTTAGAGAACCTGCACACCTATCTGTGAGCGACTCTGGAATCTTTCAGGACAGCGTCAATTTTAGCGACACAGAGAAGAAAGGGAACACTTCTTGTGCATGACAGTTGCCAAGCTGCAAGAGAGGCTATTCGGAGACGGGGAGGGTCCGTCAGGCTCCCAGAGTGAGGTCCGCTGAGCAAACAATGTGCACTTCTGCTCTGCCCGGGCCTCTGCCACCCCCAGGCCTCCCGTGCGGAACAACTGCCTCCCTCCAATGTGGCCATGAGCCGAGCCACTCCTAGTGATTCCTACTGCCTACACCTCGGAGAGGGTCCCCCCCGGCTGAAAACGCTGCTCTCCTGTTAACGGCAGAATGACTCTGACTTTTAGGCGAGGAACCAAGAAGCACATTCAAAGGGTCATTTTGCTTTTGTCTGGATCCAAGACTCCATTAGCCTCTTGCTAACGGAAATTTTATGAGGACCCCTTGACCCCATGTCATCTAAATCAACTGGCATTGGGGCAAGGTTTTCCCCTAAAACTACATTTCATTCCAAAGTTCAAAACATAAGATGGAAATGTTCACAGGGTTCAGGCAGTGAGCGCTGCTTTACAAGGAGAGGAACCTCCAAAGAAACAGCCGAAGTCTAAGCTGTATGTTTACAAACAGACGAAACAGCCAAAGTCACGACCAAGTGTGAAGATTTAATACGGTGTGACTACTTTACTTTTCAAAGTAGGCTTCTCTTCTCTTCCGGAGTTCTTCTGAAGTCAGGTGTGTACCTGATGAGTGTGGGGTATCTTGAGATATACTTCTAGAACTACCTGAAAGCAAAAGAAAGTGACAAAAGAGCCATCATTTTAGTTGGCAACTCAAGCAACAGTAACTTACACTCTTCTTCTTAAAAAATGGGGTTGGAAGGGCTGGAGCAATAGCACCGCAGGTAGGGCGTCTGCCTTGCATGCGGCTGACCTGGGTTCAATTCCCAGCACCCCATATGGTCCCCCAAGCACCGCCAGGAGTGATTCCTGAGTGCAGAGCCAGGAGTAACCCCTGAGCATCAGCTGGGTGTGACCCCAAAAGCAAAAAAAAAAATGGGGTTGGAGAGGTAGTACACTGGGTCGAGCACTTGCCTTGCCTGCGGCTGACCTGGGTTCGAGCCCTGGCAGCCCTTATGGTCCCCTGAGCCTGCCAGAAGTGATCCCTGGGCACAGAGCCAGGGGTAAAGCCTGAGCACCACCACAAAACACCAACCAAACAAAAAATATTCTGTTACTATTCCATAAATATTTGAAAAACTCTTAAAATTTCAGGGACAATGTACTCTGACAGTTCCAATCTAACTAAACCCCCTGCAGACAAGTTGTCACCCCTCTGTGGTAGAGTGACCCTGAGCACATAGGTCCAACAACCATCTCCCTAAGAAGAGTTGCTGGCACCATATTTCTGTGCTGCCTTAAAAAGGAACCAACACTTTAAAAGGCATGGAAGTCCTGAAAACAACGGTACAAGTGTCCTAAAAATATAAAATAAAATGTGGAGTTCATGGGCTGGAGCGATAGCACAACGGTAGGGCGTTTGCCTTGCACTCAGCCAACCTGGCTGAGCTGGGTTCGATTCCTCCGCCCCTCTCGAAGAGCCCGGCAAGCTACCGAGAGTATCTCACCCGCACGGCAAAGCCTGGCAAGCTACCTGTGACGTATTCAATATGCCAAAAACAGTAACAACAAGTCTCAAAAAATGGAGACGTTGAGCCAGGAATAACCCCTGTGCATCGCTGGGTGTGACCCAAAAAGAAAAAAAAAAAAGAAGAAGGAGACGTTACTGGGCCCTGCTCGAGCAAATCGAAAACAACGGGAGGACAGTGTGTTTGTGTTGAGTTCATGCTCAATTCAATCAGCTTAATCAATGGCTGAATAAACAGCAGTACTCCTACATTAAAAAATAAAAGAAAATGACACAACCCCCACCGAAGCCCAACACAACACTGCATGCAGAACCGTCTTGAACAGCTGGAGAGAGTGCAGGGGTGAAGGCACGCGCCTGCCGTGCATACAGCTGTCCTTACTCTGATCCCTGGCACAGCCGAGCATGGCACAAACACCAACACCAACCACATAAAAACCTAACGTGAGTACTACAGCAAAGGAAAGTCTCCAAAGGCCAAAATGATAGCACGTGGGCTATCAGATCTGAACTCACGCCAAGCAAAGCTAGGTGCGGTCCTCCAAGGACAAAATGCTTCAAGTTTCTCACTTAAAAGATGTGCCAACCAGGGACCGGAGCGATAGTCCAGCAGGGAGGGCACGTGCCTTGCACATGGCTGACCGAGTTCGATCCCTGGCATCCCCTATGGTCCCCCAAGCACCGCCAGGAGTAGTTCCTGAGTGCAGAGCCAGGAGGAACCTCTGAGCACCTCTGGGTGGGGCTGAAAACAAAGCCTTGTAGCACGGTAGCACTGTCCTCCCCTTGTTCATCGATTTGCTCGAGTGGGCACCAGTAACGTCTCCATTGTGAGACTTCTTGTTACTGTTTCTGGCATATCAAATATGCCACGGGGAGCTTGCCAGGCTCTGCTGTGTAGGCGGGATACTCTCAGTAGCTTGCTGGGCTCTCCGAGAGGGGCGGAGGAATCGAACCCGGTTTGGCCGCGTGCTAGGCAGACTACCTGCTGTGTGATATCGCTCTAGCTGAAAACAAAAACAAACAAAAATGTACCAAATTCTACACAAGGTAAAATACAGTGGGAAGAAGAGGAGTAAAACACACGCAGGAAGCCCGACAAGACAGCAACTGCTCTGTGCCTGGCGGGAGCTTGGAGCAGGCAGCACACGGCCTGAGCTAGGCCCAGCGCTGCGGGCAGCTGTGAGTCTCAGGGGCCCCCAGAGCACCACGCGGTGAGGTCCACGCCTGAACCACAGGGCCCACCTTCTCAGGGAGGATTCTGGGGATCCTCAGCACCGGTGGGGCGGACCTTGAAAGCAGAGCTGTGGTCTCTACATGCTGGGGCTAACCCTGCAGGACACGGCTCAACAGTCTTCTAAGCACAAACAAAGTTGAGGGCCCGGAGAGATCGCATAGGGTCTGGGGGAGGCATTTGCCGTATATATGGTCGACCCCGATGCAATGCCTGGCACTGCAAACGGTCCCCTGCAGACCCTGGGAGCAACCCTTAAGCACAGCCGGGTATGGCCCCCAAACCCTAAATATGAGCAAATGAAACAGCAGCAGAGCCAGGGACATGGCAGAGTATAGGCCTGGCAGGCACACGGCCGGAGCCAGACTCAAGGCAACCAGAGCTGCTGTGAGGCCCCACAGCTGGAAGGCTGGAATAAAACACGACTCACACCTTTTGGCTACTCAGAGATATGTCAGGAACAGTCAGACCACAGAATAATATATGGCACAAAAAATGATGACTTTTCCTATGAATGGAACCTCCACATTTATTTATATATTAAACTGATAAGTAATCTCATTAGGAAGAAGGTAGCAAATTAACAATAAAAAAACAAAAGTTCCTACTGGGATCCGTGGTGGTGGGAAATGGGCACTGGTGGAGGGATGGGTATTTGATCATTGTATAATTGAAGCCCAAGCACAAAATTTGTAAGTCTACAACTGTACCTCATGGTGTCTAATAAAAAAAAAAAAAAGAAAAAGTCCTAAAAAAAAATAAAACAGAAAAAATCCCACCCTTACATTTTATTCATTCATTTATTTTTTTTTTACTTTTTTGGGTCACACCTGGTGATGCACAGGGATTACTCCTGGCTCTGCACTCAGAAATTACTTCTGGCGGTGCTCAGGAAATCACAGGCTATGCTGGGAATCGAACCCGGGTCGGCTGCATACAAGCAAACGCCCTCCCTGCTGTGCTATTGCTCCAGCCCCACTTTGATTCTTGTCTTCCTGTTTATTTGAGGTTTGTTTGCTTGGCTGTTCTGGGACTGGGGGAACACTCCTGGCCCTGCACTCAGGGATCATTCCTAGAAGGGCTCAGGGGACCACATGGAGTGCCAGGGCTCGAACCCGAGTCTGCCACATTCAAGACAAGCACCCTCGCTCCAGCCCCACATTTTAATATTTTTTAAAAAATGGGGCTTTTGGGTAGTGCCAGGGACACACCTACACCCTCACATTTTATTTATGTATTTCTTATTAGGGTGTCATGATTTTCATAGCCATTGATAATAGAGCTTCATGCATTCAGGGTTTAACTCCAATCCCACCACCAGTGTCAGCGCCGACCCTGATGGCCCCACGTCTCCTTCCTAAGAAGTATTTTCTCTGCCCGGATTCCCTGGCAGCATCTTCAGGTCTCTGATGCTGAGTTTAAAAAGCAAACCCAGACCCGTGTGGTGCAGGGTTGCGCCATCCTAGTTGGAAAGCTGACACCACACTCCATCCCCAGAACACCTCTGGAGGTCCCTCCTGGACACAGGGCCATGACGAGCGCAAGCCCCTCAATGTGTGGGTGGCCCCAATCTCCCCACACCTGCCCCCCAAAACGAGGGCGTTAGTAAGTGCCAGAGTTCTGTAAAGTGATATGGAATCTCTGCAGAGGCCTTTCACGCACCAGAGAGTTTTACTGGGCCAAGGGCGGGACCAAATAGTACAGTGGGTAGGACACTTGCTTTGCACAGGATCCCAACACACCCTCTGTTCCCCCGATTCCCAGAGTGACCCAGAGCACTGAGCCAGGAGTAAACCCTGAATACAGCTACTGTGGCTCAAAAAAAAAAAAAAAACCAGACTTTTACCGGTCCTGAAAGACAGCGCAAAGGCTGAGCACGTGTACCAGCGTATGGGAGGCCAGGTTTGACGCCACACAGTGTCATCTGCCTTGTACCACCAGGACCAGTTTCCAAGCACATGGCATTCAGCAGTTCTGGGTTCCATCCCTAGCATGGCATGAGCACTATGGGGAGTGATCCCTGAGCACAGAGCAGGAGTAAGCCCTGAGCACTGCCAGGTGTGTCCCCACAATAAAACAAACAATACAAAAAAAAAATCAACAGCACACACACACACACACACACACACACACACACACACACACGAGTTTTATCAAGAGGTTACAGCCAACACTGTAGTGCTCTGGACAAGGTTTAACCAACCCCCACAACAGTGAAACTCAGCTGGCTGTTGTGTTAGTATACAGCTATAACCAAACGCAGTTACTAGAAATAAAAATGTACTTAGTACTAATATGAAATGTTTTAAAGATGTTTACATTGACAGCTTAAGCAAACAAACAAAAGGTTGCTCAGGGGTTGGAGCAATAGCACAGTGGGTAGGGCGTTTGCCTTGCACACTTGCACACGGCCAACCCGGGTTCAATTTCCCAGCATCCCATATGGTCCCCCGAGCACGGCCAGGAGTAATTCCTGAGTGCATGAGCCTGGAGTAACTCCTGTTCATCGCCGGGTGTGACCCAAAAAGCCAAAAAAAAAAAAAAAAAAAAAAAGGAGGTTGCTTATGGGGTGGAGATGTGGTCCAGTGGTAACCTGCATGCCTGGCATGCACGAAGTCTGGTTCTGATCCCTGCCACTGAAGGAAAATAAAAAGTATCTTGACTGTACAAACAAACAGCCATTGTTTCTATAGGACTTGTCAAAGAATGAACTTGGAGGGGAAGGAGGAGTGGGCTGAGCCGACAGCCCCACGACACCCAATCCCCCCCGCGGCCCACCTTGCATGCTGAGCTGAATGGCCCTGCGGAGATCCGCCTCCTCGTCTTCCAGGTCGATCTCCTGGCGGCTCAGCGCGAGCGCCTTCTGCAGGTCTTCCTCCTCTTCATCCACCACCGTTGACCCATCATTGGATTCTGAGACTCGCTCCAGTTCTGTCTTCTGGATTCTAAAGAACAAAAGCACCATTTTCAGGTTCGATCCCCAGCAGTGGTCCCCCCAGGCACTGGCAGGAGTGATCCCTGAGCAGCAAGGGGAGCAAGCCCTGAGCCCAAACACTGCTGCCCCCAGGAAGATATCAGGCGGTGCTGCTCCGGCAGCAGGACACTAGCGCCAGGACGACACAGAGATCAGCACGGCTGCCGCACCAGGACGACGCGCAGATTCCCAAAGTGCTCCAGAGTTATTAAAAGGAAAAAAAAAAAAAAGAAGAAGAAGAAGAAGAAACTTAGGAAAAAAAAAAAGATATAACACAAAGCGATTTATGAATCATGGATTTCATCTAAGTCAAAAATTAAACATTTTTTAGGAGCCTAATAATATACTGTTGTGAATCAAAGCTAATGTGAAGTAAATCAAGGACCAGATTCAAGTTTGAAGAAATAAAGCACTGGAGCACTGTCCTCCCGTTGTTCATCAATTTGCTCAAGCGGGCCCAGTAACATCTCCTTCGTGAGACTTGTTGTTACTGTGTTTGGCCTATTGAATACATCACAGGGAGCTTGCCAGGCTTTGCCATGCAAGCCTGAGGTACTCTCAGTAGCTTGCCGGGCTCTCCCAGAGGGGCGGGGAAATTGAACCCAGCTAGGCCGGGCCGGCTACACACAAGGCAAATGCCCTATCGCTGCGCTCTCTCTCCGGCCCTGTAATATATAAGGACCCAAAGAAATTCACCCCTGGAAGGTAAGCGCACCCCGTGCTGTCACAGCACTCCCGTCCTCCCACTCCCCATCATCCCCCCTCCTCCCTAAGTCTCTCGTCATCCCCATTCTCCCCCTCCTCCCCCTCCTCCGCATCCTCCCTTTTCTCCTTATTCTCCCGTCCTCTCTACTCTCCCCATCGTCCCAAGTCTCTCTGTCCTCCCCATCCTCCCTGTCCTCCCCATCCTCCCCGTCCTCCCTGCGGGCACCACTTTACCTCTGTTCCTTCAGCTGTGCTAATTCTTCCCCAATCAGCTTTGGTCGCTGCATCTGCTGGACCCTGATCATCTGCAGGAGCTGGTCGGCTTCACAGTCTGGCAGATCCCCCTTCACCACAAATATAGAATAGCCTGAAAGGAAAAAAGGCGAAAAGGAACTTTAGCAGGCAGCGAGAGACTTGGCACGGCTCGGCAGTGCTGACCGAGTGCGGCACGCCGGGCCCTGGGTTCAGACTGTCCTGACCCACACTGGCTGGCCGGCTCAGGACCCATCACGGGGAGGGGCTCTGAGCCTCACCTGCTCCACCTGCCAAAGGAGACCAACCACCTCACAGGAGACTGTGCGAAATCAACGAGATCGTGTCTGTCGAGGGCCTGCGGACACGCTCCCGGGCCAGCAGGCTGCTCTCTGGGCTGCAGGCTCTGAGGGCCAGCTGCAGGCGACACCCGCCCTCCCTCAGGGGCTGTGTGAGGACACTTCAGGGCAAATGAACCACCTGTGAAAACACATGCAGGAACCCCCCCACACCCAACTGATAACAGGAGCAAGGGGGCCGGGGTAACAGGACAGTAGGGAGGGTGCCTGCCTTGCAGTGACTTGGGCCCAATCCCTGTCATCCCTGATGGTCCCCCGAGCTTGCCAGGAGTGATCCTTGAGTGCAGAGCCAGGAGGAAGTCCTGAGCACTGCCAGGTGTGGCCCCCAAACCGAAAACAAAATTTGCTTGAAAAAAAACAAAACACTTTTGGGACCTGAGTGATAGTACAGTGGGGAGAACATTTGTCTTGCATGTGGCTGACCTGGGTTCAATCCCCAGCACCCCATATGGTCCCCGAGCCCTGCCCGGAGAGATCCATGCAGAGCCAGGAGTAGACTCTGAGCACCAGTGGGTGTGGCCCCCAAACAAAAAGCAAACAAAAAAAGTGTTTGGAAAGAGCGGAATTCACCAGGGGATCTGACAGCAGCATCCAGGAGAGGCGGGCAAGGAGGGCAGAGAGGCCCGGTTCGCAAAAAGAGAGGCGACAGGAAGCGGACACAAAAGACCAGGACACGCTTAAGTTCTCCACTATGGGCGAAGCAAAGACAGTCCTGCCGGTGAATCACCGAGACGGCAGTAAGTGGTGGTGCCCGCCTGTGCCCGCTGACCTGCAGCTGTCCAGCCTCAGGTCAGGTCGGCCACGGGGCAGAGGGCCTGTCCCTATGGCCACTGTCCTACCACGGTGCCCAGCTCCAACGGGCAGGGTTGGGCAGAGTTGGACAGTGGCAGGATTGCGGGGAGCAATGGCTGTTTCGTGGGTTTCTGTGTTTTAGATCCATGCCAGTGGCTCTTGGAGATGACCCCGGACTCGGGTCTGGGCCCCACGCGGTGCTGGGGCGGAAGCAACCCTCCCATGTGCTGAGGTCAAGCAAGGGCTCCGGGAGCCGCTGCCCAGTCCCCAGAACTCGTGCCGTGACACAGGCAGGGCAAGGTGAGCCTGAACAACTCCCTAAAGACAGAAAACCTGCTCATGCCTACAAGGGGGGCTTTGAGAGCTGAGGCCAACGCGAAAGGTCCCTCTGGTCCAAGACGGAGCCACCTGGGCGTAGCGGGGGCGACAGGCTCAGCTTTAGAGGTGAGCTGACAAACCAAGCTGGCTCACGAGCTTACCTGGGCCACAGCCCCACTTTCAGAAAAAGCACCACAGCACCACTCAGCGCCACCCCCCACTCCCCAGCTTCTCAAAGGAATGAACAGGAAGTGCCCCTTGCTCGGGATTGCCCCAGCACCCCCTGGTCGGCAGAGCCCACTGCAGGAAACGCCACTGCAGAGCAACCCAGAGCTGCCCTAGGGAGGCTGAGAAGCAAGAAGCTCAGAGTGCAGGTAAAGGGAGTATGGAAATCCGGCGTCTGTTCACTGCGTACTTGACTGAAACAATGAAGCTGGGTAGTGATTACCAATGGCCGTTCGAACCGCAGAAAGACAGACAACTCGACATTGCCGAACCATCTGGAACAGACTTCCACCACAACCTCCCGCAATCCAGGAGAGTCCTCCGGGACTCTCCCAAGTCTCTGGACCAAAGAACTAGACTGCTGGGTCTCCAGGCCCAGAGGAAAAGAAGATGCAACCAGCAGCGCACAGACTGTGGGACACAAAATTATCCACACAGCAGGTAGTATGTTTGCCTTACATGCAGTGCAACCCGGGTTCGATTCCCAGCATCCCATATGGTCCCCTGAGCACCGCCAGGGGTGATTCCTGAGTGCAGAGCCAGGAGGAACCCCTGTGCATTGCCGGGTGTTACCCAAAAAGCAAAAATAAATAAACAAACAAACAAACAAACAAACAAACCAATGGGGGGGGAGAGAGAGAGAGAGAGAGAGAAAGGGGAGAGAAGAAGAGAGAGAGGGAGAGAGGGAGAGAGGAGACAGTGAGTGGAGAGGAAAGAGGGAGAGAGGGAGGAGAGAGGAGGGAGAGAAGAGAAAGAAGAGGAGAGGGGGAGAGAGGGGAGAGGAGAGGGAGAGAAGAGAGGAGAGTGAGGGGAGAGAGGAAAGAGAGGGAGGAGAGAGGAGAAAGAGGGAGAGGTAAAAAAAGAAAGGAGAGGGAGAGGGAGAGAGAGAGAGAGAGAGAGAGAAAGAGAGAGAAAGAGAGAGAGAGAGAGAGAGAGAGAGAGAGAAAGCAAATCTGTGCTTAGCCTCAGGAGACATGCCAAGGGCCAGGGGCGGAGCCTAGCGTGGCCACAGGCTTCCCACGCCAGGCCTCCCTTCAATCCCGACATCCCTCCCAAAGAGGCTTCAATCTAATGCAACCAAGAAGCGTTTTCTCAAACAACTGTTGAAAACACATACAAAATGGGGGCCGGCGAGTCGGTACAGGGGCCAAGGTTCCTGCCCTGCATTTGGATCCCGGGTGGCACGTATTATGAGCCCCGGCACTGCCAGGGGTCACTTGAGAGCAGAGCCAGAAATAGACCCCGAGCATCACTGGGTGTGGCCCGACTCCCTCCCCACCCCCCAATAGAAACAAACAGAAAAAAAAATTGTTCTGGGATTTTCCCAAAATAAAAAGAGGAAGGACATGGGTGGGGCATTAAAGCAAGAACTGGCTTGGGGACAAGTGCCGAAGCCAGGTTATGGAGACGCAAGAGTCCCAACTTTTCTCTGAATTTGAAATTTTCAAAAAAGCTTTCTTGGATCTCCTAAGGTGGGTAGAGACCCACTATGCACTCAGAGGAAGGTAGATCAAGGCAGAGTGAGAACTGAGCACGGGTATGGGCACATGTGCAGGTCCCTGGAGACACTGGCCTGGGTGATGCTGGCTGTGACAGTGACTAAGATGAGACCATCCACAGGTGATGCATCCAAAGGGCGAATGGAAGTGGAGGAGAGTTGGGATTGCCAGAGAAGCTGCTTCTCCTCCTGAATCAATGAAGATTCACTAGGGTCAGGGATGCGGCTTTGCAGCAAAGCATAAACCTTGTACGCACAAGATATGGATTTGATGCCTGGCACCACCGACGATGAAAAATAAAAAGGAGAGAGGGAAACAAAGAGCTTATTTGTGGGCTGGAGAGATAGCACAGCGAGTAAGGCACTGGGGTTTTGCATGCAGCCTACACAGGTGTGATCCCACACAACATCAGGTCCTCTGTGCACCACCAGGTGTGGTCCCAAAATGAAAATAAACCAAAAAAAAAAAAAAAAAGAAAAAGAACCCATTTGTCTGATGTCAGAACAATACATAAAAGAGGAGAAATACTTCCACAAAAACAGTATTGTCATACTTGTCTCTAATGAGCTCATTGTGACCACTTCAAAACAGAACATTATGAAAATATCAGTATTTACCTTCCTGTTGTAACTGAGCCAAGAAAAGTGCAAGGTATGTATCTGATATTAGTTCTGGACCCGTCAAGAGAGAATTCAAGTTGAACCACTGGGAAGAAAGGATCTTTGTTAGTGCACATTCTAAGTACCAAGCAAGTTTCACATGCTGAACACGGACATAACCCAGCTAATAGGACAGCTGTCACTTTGATCTGTTTGTGCATTCTGGGGAACAGTCGGGTGCTTGGGGGCTACACCCAGCTCAGTGCTTAGGGCGGGGGAACCTTCGGATTTCAGGTTCCAGAATACAAAGCATGTGCTGCAGCTCTTTGAGTTTCTATTCTCCTGTGGCACCTATGGTCAAATGTAAATCTTCACAAATTCAAAACATGTCCTCTACCGATAAACCACATCCCTTGCCAGGAATTCAAAAATTTAATAACGTTTTTGGGGGGGGGGTGGGTGGGATTGGTGGAGGGAGTGGACACTGTGAAAGGGTTGGTGTTGAAACACTGTATGCCTGAAACCCAACTGGGAATAACTTTGTAATTTTACAGTGATTAGAAGTCTTAAAAAGAAATAGGAAAAAATTTAATAATGCAATTTTTCATAAGAGGCAAGGGATACAACCCAATTTAGAGTATATGTTTGAATTTTAGAATATAGTTTCTATCACTGCCCACCCCAAATTGAAAAACAAAAAATATTCCAGATTTATTTGCATCATTTTTTTAAAGATAAAAATTTAGGGAGTCTGGAGCGCTAGTCCAGCGGGGAGGGCGTTTGCCTTGTACATGGTCGATGCAAGCTCCATCCCTGGCATCCCTTATGGTCCCTCCAGCACTCCCAGGAGTATCCCCTGAGCACCGCCAAGTATGGCACCAAAAACACTGGGATTGGGGATATAGCTCAGTAGTAAAACATTGTTTTGCACATTTTCCATGAATTCAACCCCAGGCACCCCCAAATAAACATGAATTTCAAAACAAACCTTTCAATTCCCCACCAAACAGAAACTGACAGTACTGCCAAGTGTTCTTACTGAGAAAAAATATTTTGATTTTTTTGGGGGGGGGTTGGGGGCCACATATGACGGTGTTTAGCGGTGACTCCTGGCCCAGTGCTCAGAGAAGACTCCAGTCAGTGCTCAGGGGACCATATGGAGTGCCAGGGATTGAGGCAAAGTACTCTACCCACTTTACTATCATTCGGGTCGACGTTAAAACTTTTCAAAGTAGGGGCCGATCCCCAGCATTCCGTATGGCCCCCCCGAGCCCCGCCAGGAGTGAGCCCTGAGCACAGGGCAAGTATTTCCCATATATACACCCATGGGGCCACCACAGCAAAGAGGGAACAGACTCCCCAGCACGGAGTCTCAGGCCCTCCCAGCAACCCCCACGGGAGTGGCACCTTCCAGGCCTTCCCAAGGCTGCAGCGAGGCTGCAGCAGGCGAGGGGCAGGATTCCCTGGCGACTTTGCCCTCCTCAAAATATACTGGCCTGCTTTCAAGGACTCTCACGTGGTCAACACCGAGAGAAATGCCTCGAAGCAGTCACTTCAAGAGTAGAAGGCATAGTCCAGCGGGTAGGGCATTTGTCCTGCACGCGGCTGACCCGGGTTCAATCCCCAGCACTCTATATGGTTCCCTGAGCACCGTCAGGAGTAATTCCTGAGTGTAGAGTCAGAAATAACTCCTGAGCATCACTGGGTGTGACTCTCTCCCCATCCCCCTTCCGGGGAAAATAAAAAGGTGAAATAGTGTATACAAAGACTTCCATTAAATTTTTTTTTTTAAAGGAGCCAATTGTATGGTGGTAGATGGGAACTGGGCTTTGCGGAAGATTTTACTTATTTATTTATTTAATTATTTATTGCTTTTTGGGTCGCAGCCAGCGATGCAAAGGGGGTACTCCTGGTAGTGCTCAGGGGACCATATGGGAGGCTAGGAATCGAACCTGGGTTGGGCCGCGTGCAAGGCAAACGCCCTACCCGCTGTGCTATCGCTCCAGCCCTTTCCATTAATTATTTTTCAAAAATAACATTTTAGGGGCCAGAGAGTGCAAGAGAATACAGGGGTTAAAGTGCTTGCCATGAGCGTGCCAATGCCTGTTTGTATCCACAACACCCCAGATGGTCCCCCAAACACTGCCAGGAGTGAACCTTCACCAGAACCAGGAGAAACCAGAAGGACCGCTGGGTGTGGCCCCCAAACCAAATAAATAAGTAAAAATCACATTTTACAGGCCAGAGAGACAGGATGGGGGTTAAGACTCTGCCCCTGCACGTGGCTGACCGGGCTCAGTTCCTGGTATCAGGCAGGGTGCCCCCACCCCCGCCCCAAGCAGTCAGAATAGCCCAGAAAACAAAAGGCAACACTTTCTGTCCACTTCCTGATATTTTGCAGTCTTTAAAGACTTGCTCGGTGCACTGGAGAGAGCTCAAAGGGCTGGAGTTCCGGGCTGCCACACAGGCGGGCGGCAGCCCCTGCGGTTCCCCTCACCGCCCGGTGCCCACACACTGGTGAGCCAGCCCTGTGCAGGCAGTGCCGACCAAGTCCTGTCGAGACCGAAACCCTCCCCACCCCATGTGACAGGTGGTTACCTCATCGTGAGGGCCACAATTTCTTATATTTTAGTTTCAAAAACCGGGGGAATGCAAAAATGAGAGGGAAGGGTGTGGAGGGAGGAGAAAGGAGAAGCATTACCTGTTTTCCTAACTTTCTAACTGTAAACCAGTGTTCTTTATAATTGCATATAAATGACTTCTCATTTCTAGAAAAAGAGAAAAACAAACAATATTAAGTTGAAACAGTAATACTATCAGTAATCTGCTGGGAAGCATCATGCAAAACTGAAGATACCTGGGGACTGATTTTTAGTTGAGTTTATTAATTTATTTGAGGGAAAGGAAAATAAGAGACAGCAAGAAGGAAAGTGTCTCGCATAGAGGGAGGCTGGGGTGGGGTATTGGGGGATGGTGGTAGGGAAACGGGACATTGGTGGAGGGATGGGTGCTAGATCATTATATGACTGAAACCCAATTATAACAGCCTTGTAATGGTCAATCTCACAGATCACTGTCACTGTCCTCCCGTTGTTCATCGATTTGCTCGAGCGGACCCGGTATCGTCTCCATTGTGACAATTGTTACTGTGTTTGGCATAGCGAATACGTCACGGGGAGCTTGCCAAGCTTTGCCACTCCAGCCAGATATTCAATTAAAAATTTAAAAAACAACAACAACAACAAAAAAGTAACGTGTAGTTCATGCCCAATTCAATCAGTTTAATCAAGGGCTGAATAATGTAGCAGTACTCCTACATTTAAAAAAAAAATTTAGGGGCTGGAGTGATAGTACAGCAGGTAGGGCATTTGCCTTGCACGCGGCCAACCCAGGTTCGATTCCCGGCATCCCATATGGAACCCTGAGCACTGCCAGGAGTAATTCCTGAGTGCAGAGCCAGGAGTAACCCGTGTGCATCGCCGGGTATGACCCAAAAAGAAAAAAAAAAGTATTGGGCCGGGGGAGCTTGGGGGGCCAGTGCCAAGAAGGAGCCCAGGGTCTCACTCACACAAGGCCTAAACCCTTTGGGGTTCTAAACCCCAAACTTTCAAGGCATTGCTTATAACCTGTTTAAAAGCCCCCCTTCTGAGTCCCCTCTGCAGCGCAACTGGAAAGTTTATTCATTCTGGTCTTTGGCCCACACTCAGCTGCTCAGGCGCTACTCCTGGATCTGTGCTCAGGGAGCCACATGCGGGTAATGGAAACTGAACCTCGGCCTCCCACATGGCAAACGTGTGCTCAAGTCCACGGAGATATCTCTAGACCCCTACCGCATGTTTCGCTCCTACTGAATTTTTAGAAAATTACAAGATAGCAGGAAATCACCTGCAGACGGGTGATGCCGTGCAGGAATAATGCCGAGACACCACCCGAGCAGCAGCTCCATGAGCCAGACGCGGAGTAGCCCGGAGGCCAGAGGGCCAGCACTCACAGCACCGGCAAAGCGGGACTAGGAGAACCCGAGGGGATGTCACAGGGAATGGGAAAACAAAGCCTCCAAAATACAGCTTTCTCCAGTAATACATTCCAATGAGAAGAGTCAATCTCAGAAAAAGAAACGAAAGAAGGGGAGAAAAAGAAAATCTTACATGGGATCAATCCTGAGCCTCTGGTACTCTGGACTGTTGAACAGGATTAGTTCTAAACCCCAAACTTTCAAGGCATTGCTTATAACCTGTTTAAAAACAACAAAAACAAAAACCACAACTTTTCATTTAAACTCAAGTACAGCCAGCAGAAGCTGTGTAAAGTTATACTTCTGGTAAACGTTTCTTCAGAAAACGATGGCTTTAAAGTGTGCATGTGTGTCGGGCTGCCACAAGCCCCGAAACTAACATGCACGCATAGCAGGAAGAAAGTGCTGTTTATAGTAGGTGTCTGGAATGTTCCAGAGAATCACACAACCAACAGATAAAACTGCCTAAAAATCAAGATATACAGTCTACCCCAGTTAAGTGCTATCCTTAAAACCTTACAACGAGTTTTAAGGAGATCTACGGGCTCCAATTTGGCTGCTAAGCGTCCTCCTTTAGAAAATTTATGTTCAGGCATAGAGAGAAAACTCAAAGCGCAAGTGTCTATTGCATGTGGCAGGCCTGGATTCAATCCCTGGCATCTCATGTTCCCTGGAGCACTGCTAGAACAAGACCCTGAGCATCACTGTGCTGCCCAAATGCATCAACAAATTAAGAAAGTGACATAAACTCACCATATCAGTAATAACATTATAATAATAATACATATTTATACTGACATGTGCATTAGAATGAACCCTGGGGCCAGAATGATAGTACAGCGGGTAAGGCACTCGTCTTGCGTGCGGTCCACCCAGGTTCAATCCCCGGCAGCCCATATGGTCCCCTGAGCACCGCAAGGAGTAATTTTTGTGTGCAGAGCCAGGAATAACCCCTGAGCATTGCCGGGTGTGGCCCCAACCCCCGCCTCCCCCAAATACATAAATCTGAAAAAAAAAAAAAAAAAAGCACTCTTTCCAGGGACTAGAATTTCTATTATCATGGGTTAAAAATCTGTAAGAAAAAAAAAAAAAAAGACTGGTCTGATGTTTCAAACCAAAAAAATAAAAATAAAAGCTTAACTGCAGGGGACCGGAGTAACAGCACAGCATGGAGGGTGTTTGCCCTGTGGCCGACCCAGGTTCAATTTCCAGATGGCTTTAAAGTTCTCCTAGTCCCGCTTTGCCGATGGCTTCCATATGGTCCCCCAAGCACCGCCAGCCAGGAGTAATTCCTGAGTGCAGAGCCAGGAGTAAGCCCTGAGCATTGCCGGCTGTGACCCAAAAGGCAAAAAAAAAAAAAAAAATCTCAAACTGCAAAAAGAGAACTACTGAAAATTCATTGTCTAGCTTTTAAAGCAGCCAACAAAAGCAGCAAATGATAAGCTGGAGAGAAACAGCACTAAGGCGCTTGCCACACATGCAGCAGACCACGGTTTGAGCCCCAGGAACGCATATGGTCTCCCGAGCACCTCCAGGTATGGCGCCCAAACAAAACACGAACTAAGAAGGAGCCAATGGAGCAGTGAGCCAGGCAGCGTCAGAGGCAGGAGGCTGAGGGCAACACAGGGGCTAACATAAATCTGCATGGAGGGCAGCTCGCCCCGGGAGAAACAGCAGGGCCTTGGACCCGAACCCCACAGCAGCAGTGCCTGGCACCGTCCACGCCACACGGGGGCAACGACCAGAAATGCTGGCCAATGAGGAGTCCAGGAAGACCGGCCACAGGGAATCCACACGGAGTCATTTGTAGAAATAGGTCCCGCAGGGGAGCTGTCTGGAAAAAGATCTCTGGGAATACATCACAAGTACCAGAAGCGGAATCAGGGGCGCACAGATGAACTTCACAAGTGTGTGAGCCTACAAATATATCCACCCACAAAATTCAAGGGGAGCGCTCAAGTTTTTCAAAAGTAGCAAAGCCACAGGGCATGTAATGAAAGAATCCAGTCCTGGCAGGCTGATGGAATTAGTGGTAAGCAGCAAGGAGCTGCACTTTCTCACACACAAAACAGGTGAGTCTGGGACATTAACTGGAATTAAGATCATCAGCAACCAGATGCAAATTGAAGTTTTTATTTCCTTTTGGGGCCGCACCCAGTGGTGCTCAGGAGCAATGCTCGGGCAGTGCTTGGGGGGGGGGCACGTGTGATGCTGGGGGCCGGGCAGCAGGATGAGAGAGGCCAATGCTTTCGCCCCTACACTCTCTCTCTCTGGTCCCCTATGAAGCTCATTTTCACATTTATATTAAAAATCTAGGGCCCAGTCCTGTACCCCAGACACAGCCTAGTGGGACTCACGCAGGACCCTTGGCCACAGTGAGGGGGGAGGCCGGGAGAGGCCACGGCAGCCCGTGACAATCGGAACACACACGCAGCTACTTACTTGAATAGAGAAAAACCCACTGTCATCCATATTCCCCGACGGCTGCTGGTTGGTTTGAAGAGATGGCGGAGGAGACAAGGTTGAGGGCAGGAGAGAAGGACAAAGACTGTCATTAGCGCTGATATTTAAAATAACAGCACAAGCATTCCTACTTCCAAAGTCAAGAGCAGAGTTATAATTAACAAGTCAGATCTCTAGAGGAAGAATAGTTTGTCCTTTTCTAAACAGTTCCCACATGGGGGGGGGGGGGGGAGAGAGAGAGAGAGGGTGAGAGAGAGAGAGGGAGAAAGAGAGAGAGGGAGGGAGGAAGGGAGAAGAAGAGAGGGAGAGGGAGAGGGAGAGGGAAAGAGAGAGAGAGAGAGAGAGAGCGCCGCCATGGTCAGCGAGCTGAGCAATCAGTACCTGTAAAAATGTGCGGTAGTCCTCACTCGTCAGCCCTCCTTCCGCCATCCTCATTCTCTCTTCTTCGTCGAGCTGCTGTGCAATTGAAGATAGTTCCACAGGGCTAAAATACTCTCCTTGCAATAGATTATTCAAGCAATGCTGAGCACACAGTGAGCCTTCTTGCTAAGGTTTCCAAAAGAAAAAAATGCAACTGTGATTGGTTAAATAGGTTCATTTGTACGGCAGCCTTCCCTAATGGCAACGTTAACTATTAACTTAAAACCGAGCCTTGTGAGTTTTCAACAAGCACGATTAGCAAGGGAACATGTACTTTCATTTATTAGTATTTATTTTATAATTCCCGCATCAATGAAGTTATGGCCAGTTATATAACTAAAACCTGATTTGTAGAAAACATCATATATCACGTTTCACAAAAACTATCCTATAAAAATATCTAGGCTTCCTCATTTCAGTGCCTAAAATAATCTGTCTTTGACTATTCCCTGTCCAATTGCTGTTAAAAGGTAATTTTAATTCCTGATTTTTTTTTAAATCGAGATAATCTTTACTCAACCAAACGTCTGTTCGTTAAATGTCAAACCTATGAACAAAAGAAGACTTTCAAGAATTGATACAGCAGGTAGGGCATTAGCCTTGCATGCCCGGACCCCTGGACTCCATCTCCGGTAACCCACAAGGCACCCCCCCACCCACCCCACCCACCCCACCCCCGTCAGGAGGGATCCCTGAGTGATGGGCTAAGAGTAAGCCTGGGTCACTTACTGGTGTGGTCCAACCCCCTTTCAAAAAAGAGGAATAAGAAAAGAAAAAATATTTTGGAGAGGTCCACACAAGCCACTTTTCAAGGTGGCTGGGGGCCCAAGAGGTGCCAGGACCAAACCCAGGGCTTCCCCTGCACCCACGTGTGTGTCGCAGTCCTCTGAGCTGTCTCCCTGCCACACTCTCCTTGGGCGGTGAAGGCAGGGATGGAACCAGGTCCCCCACATGCAAGGCCAGTGCTCTACCACTGAGTCACATGCCCCGGACCCCAGTTAAGAGTACTGTGGTTTGGCCAGAGCAATAGCACAGCAGGTAGGGCGCTCTCCTTGCACACCCGGGTTCAATCCCCGCATCCCATAGGATCTCCCAAGCACCGCCAGGAGGAATTCCTGTGTACAGAATGGGGAGAAACCCCTCAGCAACGCAAGGTGTGACTCCCCAGCCCCTCCACCCCCCAAAAAAGAGTACTGTGGTTTGAAGCTTCAGGCTGAAGTTGCAGAGTTGAGGTTCTCTCTGGGCAACCCACAGGCCACTCACATAGTGTGGTCCTGTGGACAAAATGAAGGAACTGGGGCTTCCAGATATGGGGCTGGGGAAGGCACAATTTTCTTTGGGGTCCAGGATTAGGGGTGGGGCATGGCGGCTGACTTTCTCACGCGGCGGCACCCCCCCATCTAAATCCAGACTTCCTGGCGCCAAGAAGCCTGCTTATCCCCACCTGAGAAAACGTCTTTCCCACCCACGCCAACACCTTCCTCCCGGAGCCGGAAACGAGGCTGTCCCCGTGCTAATCCAAGGCCCCATGACTTCAGGCTCCCTCGGTACCCAGCTGGGTTCAGGGCGGGCAAACCACAGCTGCGGGTGTCACCAAGGTATTTCCTCAAACGCCAAAGGCGAGGGCAACTGGGCACGCGGTAGAGCCCACGGGAGTGGAATGGCCTCGCCCACACCCCCACATGCCCCTAAGCACCTCGGGGTGTGGTCCCATAAAGTAAAGGCAAGAGAAAACATCAGCCAAGCATTCCTTTACTTGGCCTGACGTCCTCGGGACCATCCTCCACCAGACCATTCAATACCCAGAGCCACGACACACACAGGGTAGAGATGGTCTAGCCTGGGACCCACGATCAAGCCCCCTTCCTCAGCAGTGACCATGAGACCAAAAAAATACAAACGTGGGGCTGGAGCGATAGCACGGCGGGTAGGGCATTTGCCTTGCATGCGGCCTGACCCAGGTTCGATTCCCAGCATCCCATATGGTCACCCCGAGCACCACCAGGAGTAATTCCTGAGTGCAGAGCCAGGAGTAACCCCTGTGCATCACTGGATGTGACCCAAAAAGCAAAGCAAAAAAAAGTGTGCCCCCCACCCCACACCAGCACTGACACATGCCACACAACACCCTGGTTAGCCTGGCGCCGCAGGAGACCAAAGAGGAAGCGGCAGAGCCCAGAGGAAAGCAACACAGTCAGGTTGGGACTCAGACCAGGCAGAAGCATCACGTCTGTGCCAGGACCATTTCTGGAGCCACTTCAGTGGCATCTGGTTATTCTTCAACCTCCTGCATCTTAAAGACGGCGAGACACCAGCAATCACAGAACACGATGGAGACAGACAACGCAAGACTTAACAACTTTTCAAATCGTTGACCAATTCAAAACCGATTTAAAAAGAAATTCAGACCCTCGGGCTGGAGCCCATCGTACAGCAGGTAGGGCACGTGTGCTGCATGCAGCCAACTCAGGTTTGATCCCCGGCACCCATACAGTCCCCCTGAGCGCTACCGGGAGTAATTCCTAAGCATCACCAGCTGAGGCCCAAAGCGGTAAAACAGTGATAGGGCGTTTGCCTTGCGCGCAGCCAGCCCGGCCAAGCCAGGTTCAATTCCTCCGCCCCTCTTGGAAAGCCTGCAAGCTACCGAAAGAGTATCTCGCCCGCGCAGCAAAGTCTGGTAAACTACCCATGATGTATTCAGTATGCCAAACACAGTAACAAGTCTCAAAATGATGTTACTGGGTCCGCTCGAGCAAATCAATGAACAACGGGAGGACAGTGTTTGTTTGTTTAGAACCCAAAGTTGTTTTTTTTTGCGGGGGGGAAAGGGGTGCACACCCAGTGATGCTCAGGGGTTACTCCTGGCTCTGCACCTAGGAAGTAGTCCTAGTAGTGCTTGGAGGATCATGTGGGTTGCTGGGGAATGAACGCAGCTGCACACAGAGCCAATGCCCTTTGGGATACCTCCCCAGCCTCTAGAACCCAAAATTTGGTTCTCATTCTAACTCATACTACACCATGAGATGTTAACAAAATGACCAAAGCAGCAGAAATCAGAACAGAACCCACTGGGGGCCATTTTGTTTTAGAGTTTATCTTAGGGGCTGGCAAACTCTAGCCCAGAGGTGCTTAATATGGAAGATCTCGTCCCCCTAAGGGTAGCAACTGGGGATTATTTGGGATTACTGGGTAATTTTTCTTTTCAGTAATAGTCTGGGAACCTCTGCTATAGCCCAGAGGGTTTCTGGGCCACAGTACCCTTTGCTGGCGCTTACTCATAGCTCTGCATTTAGGAATCACTCTGGGTGGGGCCCAAACCCTAGCCAGCCACACCCACATGCAAAGCCGCAGCCTACCCACTGGACTACCACTCTGGCCCCAGCCTAAAGTTTTTTAAAGACTTATCTTTCTACTATGATGCAGCCCTGCCCCTCCCTGCCCAGTGAGTGAGGGGAGTTTCGAGCCATTCCTGGCCATGCTCAGTTTACTTCTTTTTTTCTGTTTTGTTTGCGGGGGCCACAACCAGTGCTCAGAATTTAGCTCCTGGCTCTTGGCTCAGGGATCACTCCTGATAGGGCACAGGATACAATATGAGGTGCTGGGGACCAAACTCGGGTCCAAAGCAGGAGAGGATTCAGGAGAGGATTCTCACCCGCGATAGTAGCTCATTGGCCCCAGACTGCAGCTGGGTCTGCAGAGCACCAGGCAACAAGTGCCTGGTTTTAACCCCGGACTTGCTCTCAAACCCTTAGGAGCCCTTTCCCAAGAAATCATTATGCAAACTTGTGTGTGTGTGTGTGTGTGTGTGTGTATACAGTGGCCAATATTTACTCATAATAGTCTTAACAAAATGTATTTTGAAACAATTCTGTGGGGGCTGGAGCAATAGCACAGCGAGTAGGCTGTTTGCCTTCCACGCGGCCCACCTGGGTTCGATTCCCAGCACCCTATATAGTCCCCGAGCACTGCCAGAGAGTGATTCCTGGGTGCAGAGCCAGGAGTAACCCCTGAGGATCGCCGGGTGTAACCCAAAAAGAATAAAAAAAAACCTGTTGTTCTTGGGCCACACCCAGCAATGCTTATGACTTACTTTGCTTCTGGCTCTGCACTCTGGGATTAATCCTAGTGGGGCCCAGGGGAGCAAATGGGGGTGCCAGGGATCAAACCCAGGTCAGCCATGTGCAGGGCAAGCGCCTGCCCAATATACTATTGCATCAGCTCCAATTTCAAAACAATTTTTGAAAAGGTACACTGCTGCTAGGACCACAGTACAGCGGGTAGGGGACTTGCCTTACATGCTCTGGCCCAGGTTTGATCCCCAGCTCCCCAAATGGTCTCCTGAGTCCACCAGAAGTGATCCCTGTGCACTGTTAGGAGTGGCCCAAAAACCAAATAAATTACACTACCCCATATGTCACAACCCACAATTATATACTCATACAGGCCCCTAGGAAGAGTTAAACATTTTTTTGGAATAATTGGGGGCATACATGCACGCACGCGCGCACACACACGTGCGCACGCGCAGTGCCCTCAGTATGCTTAGGTGTGGCTCCAAACACACCCTCAAATCAAATGGTTTTGGTTTTTTGGTTGTTGTTTTTGGGTTTGTGCCACACCCAGCAGTACCCAAGGCTTATTCCTGGCTGTGTTCAGGGATAGCTCCTGGCATGCTCAGGGGACCATTTGGGGTCCTGGAGGGTAAAGTTGGATCGACTACATGCAAGAAAAACTGCCCTACCTACTGTACCATCACTGAGGCCCAAAAATATTTACTTTTAAAAAAGACCATCATACAGGAGCTGGAGAGATAGCACGGCAGGTAGGGTGTTTGCCTTGCATGCGGCCTACCCAGGTTCGATTCCCAGCATCCCATATGGTCCCCTGAGCACCACCAGGAGTAATTCCTGAGTGCAGAGCCAGGAGGAACCCCCTGTGCATTGCCGGGTGTGAGCCAAAAAGAAAAAAAAAAAGACCATTATACACCTTCTAAGCTGGGAACTGCCTTAAGCATTGCGATGGATACTTTCTAACTTAATTAGGAACACTCAAAGTAACAACTCTGGAAAGGGAAAGCAAATCCCACTCCCAGAGAAGGGACCACAGGGTCTTCTGCAGGCAAGACAGTATCTGGGAACTTAGTTCTTTAAAGCCAGGACCTAATCAGGGTTCCAGGGCCATACTTGAAGGAGGGGTTTTGCTGCAAACATTGCCAGAACCCTGAGCCCCCTACCGGCATCGGACCCTGCTTACAGATGGTTTCTACAGTCCTGAAATTTGGCTGAAGCACTCTGAAAACCTTCCTATGCAGAACGCAGGTAAGTTCCATAAATTGAGGAGTAGAGTAACTGTATTCCGGACACAGCTTTATGCGTACCCTCGACTTCTGCCAGGTAAGAGGCTTTTCACTAGGCTAGTGGCATTCAAACACCTCCAGTGAAATCTGGTCTTACAACAATCAATATTGGTATACTGTACGGGGCCGGGGCTACAGCTACATGAATTGAAGGCAGGCCTTGAGCCCCAGGTGGTTCAATCCTGGCACCTGCACCCCCGCCCCCAGCATTTGGGGAGCAAAGCCCTCTGCACTGACGTGGTGTAGCTCCTGAGCATCGCTGGATGTGCACCCCCAAAGATAAACACTTATCTTAAAACTCAGAGAAGGGGAAGGTGTTTCAAGCCTTGTACGCTAAGGCACTATAGCTTTTGAAAATACAAAAAACTATGTATGTAGTGTTCTTATCTCTGCAAGATTCATAAATGCCAATCAAAAGATTAGTCAGGAGAGATAACACCATTTGTTTTGCATGAGGCCCACCTGGGATGGACTCCGGCTCCCCCCCAGCCCGGTCAGGAGTGATCCCTGAGCACAGCGCCCAGGAGAAAGCCCTAACTACGGCCGGGTGTGGCCCACACCCCACTCCGCGCGCCTCCCAATAAATAAATGGGTGAAGACTCTGCTACGGAGTCCTTCCTCCCCTACATTAAAAACATTTTTTAAAAAGTGGTCTTAAAATCAGAACAGGCGCAAACTTTGTTTTCTAGACGGAAAAGCCAAGCAAAGCGTCCCGCTTCCCAACCGCTCGGACTCAGAGCTCAGAGCCAGCCTCTGATGCCTTTAGGAAGCCTCACCGATGCGAATTTTGAAACAAGCCTTCCACCAACCCCAATCGCTTTGCTCCTACCAAATAAATAAATAAATAATGAAAAACACAGCAGCCGCAACCAGCAACCCTTTCCAAACACGAAACCATTAGGAAACAAGGTGTGATGATGAACCAGACTGGTCCGGGGGTGGTGGCGGGTGGGGGGAGGGTTTCGCACACACACACACACCCACCGGCCCGATGACGGCAGGGGAGGGGACGGGCGCGGCTCCCAGGTGCGCGCTCGCAGGAGGACCCGGGACCCCCAAAAAGGAGCGCGCGGGTGGGCCGGGCGCCGCGCCCAGGAGGACCCTCTCGGACCACCGCGGGACCCCGACGGCCCCCCACAACCATCGGGGAGAGAAAGGGAGGCGAAGGGTGCGGCCGATCTCACACCTCCCGGGGCGGGGGGGGGGGGTAGGGTCAAGTCCGCCCCCTCCCCCGACGCCCCCCGAGCCGGGTTGGCAGGGGGACCTGAGCGCCAACCCCGAGACCTGAGCGTCGTGGAGATTCCACGATAGAACTGGGGCGCCCAGGGCCGGGAAAAACTTCCCGTGCCCGGGCTGGGTTGGAGGACGGGGTGCAGCGGGGCGGGGTCCGAGGGGGATCGCGGCACACCGGGGCGAGGGGGAGGGGGAGGGGGCGGCGGCGGGGGGTGGGGGATGCAGGGACCCCCCCGGGCCGCGCCGGGGCAGCGACCCCCGCCTCCCGGACCCCCCGGGCTCCTCCCGGCCAGCCGGGGCCGCGGGGGGCGGTGGGCAGCGGCCGGCCCCGGGAGTTGGGGCGGAGGGGGCGACGCGGGGCCCACCCGGCGCGCCCACGCCCGCCGCCGCGCTGCCCACGGCGGCCCCCGCCGACGCGGACACTCACTTTCTCGTGGAAGATGGACTCCATGTTTATTTGTCTGGAGCCAACGGCCCCCCGCGCCGAACCACCCCCCCTCCAGCTCCTCCCCGCCCCCCGCCTCCCACCCCGCCGCCCCCCGCCCCCGCCCCGCCGCACCGCCGCCCGCCCCTGCCCACGTGCCGCGCGCGGGCCAATCAAGCCCGAGGACGCGGGTCACGTGCCCTCCTCCCCGAGCGCGTGAACGGAGGGGCGGGGACTGCGGGGGCACGTGACCCCAGGGGCGTGTCCTCGTCGCTGCTTCTGCTCCCGCCGCCTGGCGGCCCGGGTGGGCCGAGGCTGGTGCAGCGCCCCCTGCTGCCGGGAGGCTCTTCTCCGCTTCCCCGCCTGGGGATGACTTCAGGTGGGTGCTTGGGAGTCGCACACAGGTGTGCTGTTCTCTTTGTTTTCCAGCGTTATCCTTGATCATCTAGGCGTGTTATTTCAAAGCGTCCTCCTGGAGGACGGAGAGATTAGTAAAAGCTGCGTGGGCGCTTGCCTTGTACCTGGCCGACCTGGGTTAGAGCCTTTCAGCGACGGCCTCTGGTCCCCGAGCACGGCTTAGGAGTGATCCCGGAGCAGAGCCAGGAGGAAGCCCTGGGCATCGCTGGGTGTGGCCCCTCCAAAAAAAAAAGAAAAAGAAAAAAGTTTTTTCAAGGAACAGAAAAAGCCTCGTTGCATCCCTCCAGGACCTATCACGTGTGAAAAATGAGTTAATATTTACAAAGGGTTTAGTGTAGGTAGAGTCCTACGGATGTCGGAATGATTATAATACAGCAAACTTGGACGTGGCTTTTTCTATCCTTATTTTACACAGGTGTACAGTAGAGCCTGGCAAGCTACCTATGGTGTATTCAATATGCCAAAAACAGTGACAATGAGTCTCATTCCCTTGACCCCGAAAGAGCCCTCAATACGACAGCATTGGGAAAGACGAGTAAGGAGAGGCTGCCAAAATCTCAGGGCTGGGACTAATGGAGACATTACCGGCGCCCGCTTGAGATGAACAACGGAATGACAGTGATACAGTGATACAGAGATTTTACACAGGCAATGAAGGTGCAGAGAACTTAAGAACAGCACAATGTCCAAGGCTAGTGAATGAGCCGCCATGAGGGTCCAAATCTAGAAAAATGTCAGCAGTGCAAGTGTTCTGGCCCTGAAGAGGAAACTCAGTGCAGGGACAAGTGAAAAATTCAGGAAAGGGAGGGAGGTTTTTATGAAACCAGGGGCAGGGTAGCCGGGATCTTGCTACTTGAAAATAGGTAGAAGTGAGCTTATTTTCCTGGGGGTGTGGTAGTTTGGGGTTTACTCCTGGCTCTGTGCTCAGGGTCACTTGTGGCAGCTTGGGGGAATCATATAGGATGTCAAGGAAGCCTGGATAAGCCTCTAGCAAGAGGAGCACTTATCACTCTGGCCCCCAAGAGGAAGGTGTTAAATAATTACATGCATAGGTGATGATAATAAAGTGGCTCCGGAGGTACGGTGCATGTCTTGCACGTGACTGACCCAGGTTTGATTCTCAGCATCCCATATTGGTTCCCAAAGCCTTGCAGGAATGATCCCTAAGTGCAGAGCCAGAACCAAGCCCCAAGCACTTCTGGATATAGCCCCCAAATAAAAATAAAAATTCAGTAAAATGAAAATTAAAGTTCAGGTGGTAAAGAAGAAGGATGGTGAGGCAGAAAAGTAGCAAATGAAGGAGTTTTTAAGGAAAGAATTGGTCGCAAGGATTGCAACCAATGTGGTTGGGTGCCAGAAAGTCCAGTTACATAACCCTGAAGAGCCCATCAGTTTCGTTGCTATGGAGACCACTGGTGATTCTGACCTGCAGGTTCAGGGGATGAGAAGGGGCACCAGGAGATAGGAGATGAAAATGCAAGTGAGTGCCTGGTGTTCCTGGGGCCAACCTGTTGCTGTTTCTTAAATGTGCTTCTCTCCCTGTAACTCCCAGTTCTGTGCTGAGAATCCTTGGTCATAGAAAGTGGGGAAAGAGATCAAGATCCCAGGAAGTAAAAAAAAAAAAAAAACTTGGCTCATTCTTTTTTTTCTGTGTGGAGGGGCCACACCCGGCAATGCTCAGACCTCACTCCTGACTCTGCACTCAGGAACCACTCCTGGTGGGGCTCAGGCAGGTCATAGGGGGTGCTGAGCATCAATCCTAGGTTGGCCATGTGCAAGGTAAGCACCTTACCCACCGTACTATCTCTTCAGCCCTTAATGTGCTCTTTTTTCTTTAAAAATTATTTGTTCAGGGGCTGAAGAGATAGCACAGCGGGTAGGGCATTTGCCTTGCACACGGCTGACTGGGTTCGATTCCCAACATCCCATATGGTTCCCTGAACTTCTTCAGGAGTAACTCCTGAGTGCAGAGCCAGGAGTAACCCCTGAGCATTGCCAGTTGTGACCCAAAAAGCAAAAAAAGCAAAAAAAAAAAGAAAAAAATTATTTGTTCATAGGGCCAGAGGGATAGTACGGGGTGCAGGGAATTGAATCTGGGTCAGCTGCATGCAAGGCAAGTGCCCTTATACCCACTGTACTATTTCTCTGACCTTCACTATGTGTTTTGAGACGGTGGTGGTGTGTGTGTGGGGGGGGGGGAGGGGGGTTCTAATGAGATGATGGCAGGAGGAAGGTTTTTCTTTTTATTTATTTATTTATTTATTCATTTTCTTTTTGGGTCACAGCCGGAGATGCACAGGGGTTATTCCTGGCTCATACACTCGGGAATTGCTCCTGGCAGTGCTTGGGGGACCATACGGGATGCTGGAAATCCGAATCCGGGTTGGCCGTGTGCAAGGCAAACGCCCAAACTGTGCTATTGCTCCAGCCCCGAGGTTTTTCTTTTTAAAAGATGTATTTGTTGTGGATGATTTGTGTGACACTGGGAGAGAAGTGGCAGCCTCGAGAGGGGAGAATGTAGAACTGAAGGGTCTGTTCTGAGCTCCTGCCCCGAATGCCACAGAGACAGATCCCTCTAGCCCCACCAGGTGGTCAACATGCTGCACTTGTTCTGCTCAGTGTGGGAAGCGATCCTTGCCAGCCCGTTTCTCAGCAAGGAATTGCTCTGTGCAGGAAACGAAAGTCAATCCTAAATCTACTGAGGTTTTCCAGAAACATCAGAAATGATTGCTGAGAGCAGAGCCAGAAGTAATCCCTGAGCATTGCCGGATGTGGCCCAAAACCCAGAAAGAAAAAAAGTGTAAAAAAAAAAAAAGAGGACAGTGAAGATGGCACATCTCTCTCAGCTTCTGCCTGATCTGACCCGGTCACCCAAAGATGCCTGGTATGGAATAGGGCTGGTATAGTTGGCTCCAAGCACCAACGTTATGGTAGGATGGTCACATTACCCAAGCTCCACAAGAGCCCCATGAGGCAGCCTGAGGGTCACTTGATTTCCACGGCCAGGTTTTACCCCCACACACACCCGTTCTTGGAGAGCCAACCGGTGTGTGGCATTGATCTTTGCTGGAAAAGCAAAGTCAGCCCTCATCTCTGCCGAGTTCTCCAGGAACAGAGCCTTCCCTAGCAGGAAAGAACTTTAAGAGACCAAACAGTGAAGCAAAATAGGTATTGTTTTCTGTTTTTGGTTTTTGGCCACACCTGGCGATGCTCTGGGGGTTTCTCCTGATTCTGCACTCAGGAATCACTTCTGGCGATGTTCAGGGGACCATATGGGATGCTGGGAATCGAATCCAGGTCGGTTGCATGCAAGGAAAGTCCCTTACCCGCTATACTATCTGTCCTACAATAACATGGAATTTGAGGCACTTAATTTCACGCCTCTGTATGTGTAAATAGTGCACTGTCACCAGAGTTCTGTGCCATCCTGATACAGCCAGAGTGGAAGGGTGGGCTGCCTGGTGAATTTAGTTGGCCAGTTTAAACCTGGCCTATTTAAAGGTCACTGTCACTATCACTGTCCTCCCGTTGTTCATCGATTTTCTTGAGCGGGCACCAATAACGTCTCCAGATTTGTTATTGTTTTTGGTATATCAAATACGCCACGGGGAGCTTGCCAGGCTTTGCTGGGCGGACAGAATACTCTCGGTAGCTTGCCAGGCCCTCTGAGAGGGGTGAAGGAATCGAACCTAGGTCGGCCACATGCAAGGCAAATGCCCTACCCACTATGCTATCGCTTCGGCCCCATTTAAAGGTATCCAACCAAAAGACATAATAGGACAGCAGGAGTGGGAGGTGACAGCAGGTAAAAGGAAGTGTCCAGGGGTCAAAGTGATGGTACAAAGGTGGGATGCTCATCTTATACATGGCTGACCCAGGTTTAATCCCACACAGCCCATATATAGTCAGATTCTGAGTCCGGAGTCTGGAGAACAGTTAATTGTGACCCCCCCAAAAAATCAATAATAGCTCATGGTTTTCTTCCCTGTAACAATTAGAGTGTCACTTTGTAACCCGACATTACCAAATGAATCCTAAAAGGAACAGTCTCATCTTCCAGTGTTCCTATTGGGAGGGAAATTTCCGTAATTCACAGATTCTATTTAATAAATCGAGGGCGGGGCTGGAGTGATAGCACAGCGGGCAGGGCGTTTGCCTTGCACGTGGCCGACTGGGTTCGATTCCCAGCATCCCCTGTGGTCCTCTGAGCATCACCAGGGGTAATTCCTGAGTGCAGAGCCAGGAATAACCCCTGTGCTTCGCCAGGTGTAACCCAAAAAGCAAATAAAATAAAAGCACTGTAGCACTGTCCTCCCATTGCTCATCGATTTGCTCGAGCGGACCCAGTAACATCTCCAGTGTGAGACTTGTTGTCACTGTGTTTGGCATATCGAATACGTCACGGGTAGTTTGCCAGGCTTTGCTGTGGGGTGAGATACTCTTGGTAGCTTGCTGGGCTCTCCGAGAGGGGTGGAGGAATCGAACCTGGCTTGGCCGGGCTGGCTGCGCACAAGGAAAATGCCCTACCGCTGTGTTATTGCTCCAGTCCCCCCAAGACTAATAAAAAGTTATTAGAAATAAGGTGGCAGGCTAAAATTAATGTACACAAATCTGTGATATTATCTATGCAAAAATAATGAACTAGCTAAGGGACTGGATTTGGATTTTGGCCATATCCAGCTGTACTAAAATAGC